ATTTATAGGATTAGTATCACTTATTGATTTGCATATGTATTTCATGTTTGAATGCACAGCTGCTTCTTGCACAGATTTATAAAGATAGAAATGACAGAACATTTGTATTGGATGAGACAATACTGTTATATTGTGCAACTACACTGGATGAGAAGTGACAGACTGAAGTGGTCAAAGCTCGAAAAAAAACGAACTGACACTACAGAACTCTACAGAACTCTGTAAGTCAAACCAGTGGAAGTTAATCGGTAAAAGGAATAGTTCTGTGTTTTGAGAGGAAATGCGCTGAAATCACCAGTGTCAGCAGGAAACCAGAAACAACAAGGTTAAAGATGTAGGTCATGCAATTTGCGATAAATAATGTGAGAGCAGTAAAGGTCTAATTTCTATGAGGAACTAATGATCCTTGTGTCACCTGCTGGAGGAGAAAGCTGAAGTTGAATCCAGGAAAAAAGACATTTGCTCGTTTTCGCATCCACATGGTAGAAAATATATATTTGATACCCACACACCAAAAAAAATCTAATATAAATGAATTAAAAGTCCCATTTCTAACTACCTTAAGTACAAACAGCAATTCAGCAGTGCAGAAAATCAACCACAGGTTCCTTTTATTCAATAATATTAAGGTAAAAGTTTTAAGTTGGTGCATGTTTAATGTAAAATCAATTGGACTAATTGTTTGAAACAAGCTGCCTTTACAGGTTGTATCCCATGGAAGTATCAATCCACTGCAATTTCTCGGATTTGAATGTTACTGTATATATTCACACATATAAGGTCATCTGTCATTACACTTCCTGTTTTATCTGTGTTTTCTCTCTGCCTTTGAGAACAGAACTCTCAACACATGATCACTGTACTTCCCTGACTGGAAACCCCACATTGCAGGAGTGCAGCCCCACCACTGTAATCGGCTGTAACGTGCCACTGATATGAGCAGCAGCAGCCTGACTGCTGGGATTCCCATGAGCCCATTTAGTGACAGCTGAGATAAAGCAGCTAAACAAACACTGGCAGCAAAGGAGGCACTTTCTGCATCGCTGGGCCTCTGCCTTGCTCTACGCCCAGTCAGCCCAGCCTCTATCTACTGTGTGTGTTTGTCTCAGTGACAGGAAATAAACACAGACGGGTTTGAGGGGATGAGTGGGTGTGGGGGAGATGTGCATTTATTACCATCAGCAGCTGCTGACTCAGCTGTCTGAGGAGGCAACTGTCACCCTTCAGCTCTGGCTGCAGCCAATCAATCTGGAGAATCAATGAAATTGTGTGTGTGTGTGTGTGTGTGTATGTGTGTGTGTGTGTGTGCGTATGTGTGTGTGTGTGTGTGCGTATGTGTGTGTGTGTGTGTGTGTGTGTGTGCGTATGTGTGTGTGTGTGTGCTGATATAAATGAGGGCCCTTTTGACATGGATGTTGTGAAATGAAGTCATTTATTTCTCAGATTTCAGTCACCATCATTCAAAAGACACTCTGGACTATTTGTGACAAATCAATGGTCACAGGTCAAACACAATCATCACAATCATTTTATGAGTCAGATATTTTTATTTGCTATGAACAATTAGAAATAACCTGTCTATTATGTGGATTTGAATTCTGCTACGTGTGATAAATAAGGGGACATAGACACAACAGGGACAATAAAGAGGAAACAATCAACATGAGGTCACATGGTGTCTGTTGCCCTTTTACTTGTGTTTTGTTTTGTCCCCAGCAGCAATATCTGACTCTCTTTATTTCATTTGCTGGACGTGCCTCAGGCACACAATGTCCTCTAGTTTATTCGACCACCTCCCCCTCCCATCCCTCTCCCCCCCTTGCATCCCACCTGATGCAAGGGGGGGAGGTGAGACTGAAGGGAAATGGGAAAAAAAACCCATTAATTAAATTTAAAAATAACAAATTTTCCCATGCTCCATTAAGCGTTGTTTTTCATGAAATCCAGAAGGGGTCGCTGTTGTCCAGATTGAGAGCGACTTGTTGGGTTGTTGGAGGTTAAACTGAATCGAATCGACCTGTGTGCACAGAATCAGAATCAGAATTGGGTTTTAATGCCAAGCAGGTTTACACATACAAGGAATTTGCTGTGGTGTATTTGTGCAGAGTAAGTATAAAATACATCAATCAATTTAAATTTGATAAGAATGTATGTAGTCATTGATCATATCATATTATTGATTTATCTAAAGCAGCAGTGGTGAATCACTTTAGTGGCTGTGGCTCTTCTTGCATGTGTGTCAACATATGTGTGGCAACATAGTAGCCTATCGCTCAAAACAAAGTCAGATTCAACACATCCTACAGAGGCTACATAATAAAAACAACAATATAAAAATTTGATTAAAGTAAAGTGAAATAAAATAAAGTAAAGTAAAGTAAAGTAAAGTAAAGTAAAGTAAATAACATAAATACAATTTAAATTAAGTAAAATTAAATTAAATTAAAACAACTAAATAAAAAAATAAAAATTAGTAAAGTAAAATAAAGTAACGTACTGTAACGTAAAGTAGCGAAAAGTAAAATAAATAGTTTTTGAAATTAGCAGACCGTCTTTCTGACAGAGAGAGAGAGAGAGAGACGCCGGAAGTGGGCGGTTTGTCAGAGAGAGAGAGCGAGAGAGGGAGAGAGAGCGAGCAGTGAACTGCTGGAAAACTGACTGACAGAGAGAGAGAGAGAGAGAGAGAGAGGTTCCTGTCGTGGGTCGGTATCGTCGCTGCAGCCTCTGCCCTCGTTTTATGAGAAAAGCAGCGCAGCTCCCGTCGCTCCTCAGAGGTAAGCTTGACATGCTGTGTGTGTGTCAGTGCGTGTGTGTGAGTGTGTGTGTGAGTGTGCGTGTGTGTGTGTGTGTCAACGTCTCTCGTCTTGTCCCACTCACTGTCCCTCCACCGGTTGCGAAAGAATATTCTGACAGCGCTTTGTAAACAAACTGCGAGTGTGTGTGTGTGTGCGCAGCGTGCGCAGGAGCCTCACACACACACACACACACACACACACACACAGATGGATAAACCCATTTGTGTAGAAATGTAGTTTCTTCCCCTGGTGTCATGAAACGCTGCTGGATCAACAGGCAGCTCCACATGCAGCGGGACCCATCTGACGCACACAGGCTGCTGGTTGGAGCTGCAGAAGTTTGGCAGGTGATCGTGGGACTTGCTGCTCCACCTGAGCTGCTCCTCTCTGTGTGGATGCAGACACCTCTCCCCTCACCTGCACTTTGTACTTGATGACATCTGTCTGACTGCTGTTGTTACCTAGAAGATAAAGATTCCCATGCAAATGTTATCTAGCAGTTTATAAAGTGGTGCCATGCCTGTAGGACCCAGCTGCAGCATTTCAAATGTTGTATATGTCAACATAAACACAGTGTTTTTGTGTTTGAATTAGAATTTACTGCAGCCTGACTGATTTTGGGCTGATGCAAATATTAAAAAAACAGATATAACAGCTGATATTGTATATTTTATAGTAAAACAATAGGTTTTTATTAGAAATAACTATAAATCGAAAGATAAACATATATAAAAACTAATATTGTTTGTTTGAGAGAGTAAACAAAAAAACACACAAAACAAACACGAATTAAAATGATTCCTAAACACTAATATCGATTTGTTTGTGAAAAGCTCATATCAGCCGCCTTTTACCGGTCGACCGATAATTTCCATCGGGCTCCACACTTTACTATTGACACTTCTGGAATTTATACACATTTAGTTTAATTCCAGTAAAAGATTTGACTGCTTGACTCTGTTGATCTGTACACGACAAACAGCAGCTACAGTGATAACATCATCAGACATTTTACAGGAATAATAGACAGATTTCTTAAACAAAAGATGTTTTCAGGTACGTCACGCTGCAGATACCGTGAAGGTTACATTTGAAAGGTGCTGAACGAGTGTGAGTGCAACAGGAGCATGTTGTTCCATCGCGATCAGCTCTGGTCCATCTAACGTTATCTCACCTAATTGTGCGTTACTGTGAAACAGAGTTTGTTTGCATTTGCCTGTTGACATGTGAAATGAAGAAGCATGAAGGGGGAGGTTCATTGAGGTCAGTGCAAAGGCGGCTCTCGAACACTTCAGAACCAAGACCCCGGTGTTTGCGATTGCTTACAAACAAAACCTGAAATTTCACCCACATGCTGTACGTGTGTGTTAGCATGTCCTTGTGTGTTTGTGAGTGCGCAGATAAACTTTCTCTACATGCATCCTGTGTCATTTGCTGAACACTTTGATAAGTCTTTGGTTGTTTACCTTTGGAAGATTTCATCTCTATACCCACAGTCAAGCTGGCAGAGACTTCGCCCCCCCGTAGCTGCTGGTAATTGAGAATTACATGTTGTGACAATAATGTCCTCCGCCTACTGTGATAATTTTCCCCCTTGAGGCTGCAGTGTGAAAAGTTTGGATGTGGGCTACGGCTACTCTCCGAGTCCTTTTCTCTCCACACGGCAATGGAAACGATTTGTTCGCGACACCTTTGTGTTTTGCTCTCAGCGGTGCTCCAAATAGTTGGTCAAAAGTCAACAATAATTTTGATAATTGACTCATCATTTGCTGCTGCAGTTTCATATGTTTAGAAATCGAACAGCTGGGTTTCGGACTAAGTCATCTTAAGACATCACAGTGAGCGAAGAGGCGACAGGACATTTTCTTGACGTTTTGCAGACTGGATTCTTAATTCTTCATTCGAGATTCTTCCTTCTCTGTTTATCTTTTTTATTTTCTCACTAATTTTTGCACATCTGCTCTTTCTATCAGCAAAACATTTCAGGCAGGAAACAATGGTCGGAGTCAGCATTTAACCCTGTTGGCAAGCCACCATGTTACCCTGCATGCTCCCTCTGTCACTGCTGTGCAGGGTGCACTTGAAGGGAACCTTTTCCCAGGTTTCTGTGAAAAAGAGGTTCTCTGGTGTTGGCAAGGGAACATGGCGTTGCTGGCTTGGCATGAATTGGTTGGCACAGTGTGCCCCTTTCAGAAAGGCCCCCGATGCAGGAGCTGTAGCAGCAGGGGAGACCAGAGAAAGCAATGTTTTATCCAGGGTTCCTGCAGCTTAAGGCAAGTCAGATTTAAGACGTTTAAAGTTGCTTTCAGTGCCACTTGGAATACAATTTCAGACCTTCGGGGGCATTGCATGGACTGAGTCTCCTACTCCGTCACTAGACCTGTGTGATGATTTGATTTGTCACTGTGATCAGTCACCAACCGTGCATAAGCGCACACTCAAATGTATTCTGGAGATCTGAATCTGCTTCTCCTGGTGTTGGTGCTAAAGATGGGGGGTGGAGACTTGGTGGAGACTTGGCCGTTTTTTGATTCTCACTCTGCATGAGGGATTCCACTGCCTTGATTCCCATTGTGCAGAGTCTGAAACACTTCCTGTACAAAATGCACAGTGTCTTGTATCCTGCACATTTCCTGGTGCTGATTTCAGCCATTTTGCAGTGTATTGGTTGACTTGCAGAGGCACACCCAGTGTTTGCTTTAAATTACTTTGACCTTGGCGCCCTGCAGGAATACAAGTTAACCTGATTGATGTTCAAGTATGACTGTGACGCTTCACTCTTTAATCAAAGCTGTAAGACACAAAAGGAAGGTAGAGTTCTTGCATAGTGTGCGGGGCTTTATACAACTTGCGTAGCGGACATGTAGCGTGAGCTTAACATCACTAGCTAGCTGGTAGTACAATTGCTCTGAGAATCTCGGCCACAATATGAGTGTTGTTGGTTCCACTGTCCTGATCTGTGTGACCTTAATGCTAAAGGCTTTCAGAAAATTTCAATGCCAGAAAAAAATAAGGATTCCTTAAAATCTGACTTGCCATGTCTCGGAAAGACTGATTCAAGACCTTTAAATACCAAATCAATCCAATTCCTATTTTCAGATTCATGAATTAAATGGATCCGCAGGATCCCTGTTATCCGACAAGCCTGCGGTGCCATGTGCTCACAGCATGGCGTGTCCTTAAGCTTGTCTGTGCGTCTCACGTTTTCACTCGCCGCTGCCAGACAAGTGTAGGGTTCACTGAACTGGGAAAGGCTGATGAGAAAATTTGAGTACTGAAAGTATAGGGTGCAGGGGGAAAGGTTAGTAGGGAAGAACCGCACAGGAGACATGTTCTCAGTTCTGACATCATGAGGCGATTAGAAATGTGGTTTTGAGCTGAGTGAGCAATGAGTCAAACGTGTCAGCATCACTTACGCACTAATGACTGTGCTCATCACAGGGCTTCCTGTTGCTCTGAACAGAGGAGGAGAGCATGAATGGATGAAAGAGGTTTAAAAGAAGAAAAGAAAGCATATCTTGAGATTCCTGGTCTCTGCTTTTTAGTGCAAATAACATACAGTACTGTACAACGAACAGTATAAAACTTATAAGTGTGAAAAGCAAACAGGGGCGAGTGTCAGAAAAAGGGAAATTCAAAGGGAAGTGATCAGGAAGCATGTGGTGACATGCACTCTAACCTCCTCCCCCTGTCAGTTGGGCTAACGCTAATCCACTGGTCACGTGACCATGAGCTTTTAGCCTGGTCTTGGCCAGTAGCTCTCTGATCCATCTGTCGAATAGCGTTGCTGATTGTTGGCATCCACAGCGTTTACTTCAGTCCCATGATCACTGCCTGCTCGACACAAGACTCAAATTTGATGCCATCAGGGAGTTTCTCCTGCAGGGTTTCATCTGCAGTTTCATGAGACGTTCCCTGTCTGTGGCTGTAAATTTCCCATGATCCTTTATTCTGCCTCTGTCTTTCTCATTGTCTTTTCTCATATTTCTCTTCTTGTCATTGCTGTGAGTAAGTGGGAGGGAAGACAGTCGAGCTTTGCGGACACTGAGAAGCATGATAAAGCCTTGGGTTATTATCTCAGTGACACAACAGCCAGACTAAGTTTGCGCTGAGCCATCTGAAGGAAGTCGCAAATCAAGAGAGGAGAGTATACGCTTGAAATCCGATTGATGTCGCCAAGGGTGCTTCCATTTTTGGTTGCTATGATTTTAACTTGTGTAAGGAGCCATCGGAAAGAGGTCAGCGCAGAATAGGCTAAGAATTGAAATTCGTGGTCTGGATTAATCATTTTCTCATGTTTACGCAATATTCCCCTGCAGGCGTAAACACACAGCTGTTGCATTTTGCCGCCGAGGGAATGTTGCACCAAGCCTGACCCATAAAGCTCAAAATACCATACTTTATTTCCATCTGGAGGCTACTTTCTATTAATCAGAAGCATTCATGACTTCAAATGGTGCCAAGGCTCAGCGATATGAATAATCTGCACAGTTTTATCTTGTTAATTTGTGAAAACTGATTTCAACTTTATCGCTCAATCTATGGCATGATCCAGGTTGCTACGCTCACACCCAGCCGAGGATCGGGAGCCCATAGGTTACTGAAAGCCAGCTTGTGAGCCACTGGCAGGTCGTCTTTTCTTTTCAATTCCCAGAGTCGAGGAGCCTGAGTGAGAAAAAGGGGAGCAGTGAGCGCTTTCTGCAGGAATCCTAACCTCTAAATTACTCCAAGAGAAGCTCAGTGACCGACAACCTTGGCTGTGCCTTCAAACTCAGGAATGTGGTGATATTTATGAGAGTTTAATAAAAGTATGGCTTAGTGTAGAATCTTGGATTTGTCATTTAGTGAATTATTAATCTCCAACTTCCTTTTTAATAGTCGTGTTGGAAAGTTACACCTCGCAACTGCTTATGTTTTTTATCAATGCCTCAGGCCATGAGTCATGCTTGAACTCTCATGCATGAATTATGTGAATGAAT